CCTGCTGGGGCAGGACTAACAAGACCATATTTCAGCTTATCTATAAAACTCTTCTGTAGGACTAACTAAATAATCTGTGATGCAGTAGGGAAGGCTATGCCTATTTTCTATAGGATGGTCTGGCTATAGACTTAAGCCAGAGCTTCCTTAAAGTACATGTCAACTTTGTCAGCTATTTAAGAATACCATGCATGTGGATGTTCCTTATAGATTGTTGAAGACCACATACACGTTTTTCCTGATAGCAGTGGCCTTTTTTCAGCGCGATAATGCATGCATCCTGCTGTACTGCAAAAACTGTTCAGGAATGGTTTCAGGAGCATGACAAAGAGTTCAAGGTTATTGAGCATCAGTGGAATGAGCTGGAACAACAAATCTGATCCATGTTGTTCCCACCTACAGGACTTAAATGATCTACTGCCAATATCTTGATGCTGGATATCATAGGGCATGTTCAGAGGTTTTGTGGAGTCCTTGCCTCAAACACATCAGAGTTGTTTTGGCAGCACAATATTAGGCCGGTTGTTTTACTGTTGTTGCTGATCAGTGTATATGTCTTGTTTAAAAATGCATTTTTGTCTTTTTTGTCTTATTCTCTATCTGTCTATGCTTAAACTTATTTGTCTATACATGTATGTAGTATCTGTCTTAATCTGGCTATCCTGTTCCATTCTGTTTGTGTCTCTCGTTATGCCTTATATGTCCTTCTGTATGCATTTCTGAGCTTATATATCTGTTAGTCTGCATTCATGTCTTACATGTTTGTTGCCTTTTTAATTGAAAAGAGATTTTTATTTAGTATGGATGTCTGAGCTTGTCTTTTATAATTCATTTGTCCGAATCTGAACTTGCCAGAGAGGTATGGTAATAAATGAGAGCATGGTGAAGGAACTACAGGATGAGTTTGGGGCCTACAGACAGAAGCTTGCCCAGGGACTCATTGTTATTAATTATTTATGGACTTGCAAACTAAAGTAAAAATCTAGCTGATCACCATTTTTCACAGATAAACAATACTAGCCTAATCAATGAGAATACAGTAATCGCCAATGACAACACGAAAACCAATAAGGCATGATCTTCTTAATGGAAATCTCCAATAACCGTACACACTATGACATGCTGTAGTGGTATGGTAAGAGGAATGCCTTGGTTCCCCTCAGTGTAAGTAATCAGACTATTTGCTACAGGTTTGTTTCTCTACAGCCAATAGTTCTATTCAATGAGCTATGGCCAGGAAAGCAGGGCTGTGCATTGCTGGATTTAACCCAGGAAAGTTAATGGCTTCCATTTTTCAATACCGGTGCATGGACTGGTGCCCGGTGCACCTCAAAGTAAGAAGTCAAACCTCAAGCAAATGATTTGACTACTTGTCATGTTGGTTGGTGGGTTGCAAGGGTACATCTCCTTTACCACTATAACACTGTGTAGTGGTTATGGTGCTTGAAGTGTTCTGTTAGTTTGCAGCATGCCAAAAGTTTTAAATAAGTAAAAATTTTCAAAAAAAATCCAGAAGCCGTAATAACACTGCTGTGTCAATTCTTATAGAAAGGATTGCTTCAGATACTGTTTTATTTAGTAAAAAAACCTTTTTAACTAATTGGTTAGTTGTTAATTATGTATTAAAAAAACGATTTATGTGTTGTTATTTCTTAATTACTAATGCACATGTTGATATTAATAACCTTATATTAGTCATTTTAAATGGAAATATCCAGACAGTCAGATAAGACATGTTATCTAAAAATGAGAACAATTATGTTACAACACTCCGAAGTAGAGTCAGGCACTTCAACTGTAAAAATAATTTTTTTTTTTTTTTTTAATAAAACAATGTTGTGAGTTTATTGCTGTCTAGGGTTACTTACAAACTAAATATTTAATTTGCAGAATTTTTATTTTTCATTTATCCATACATAATTTACAGTAATAGTAGGGCTAAAAGCAGTGGAGGCTAGATAAGGAATACTATAACATCTCCAATATCTTTTTAGCATAAACGGAATTGGAGATTTTATAGTAAACCTTATCTTTCAATATTGTTTCTGAAGTATTAAAGAGTATTAGAAGTGCAAATCCAACTTTTTTTATTTTTATTATTCTATTACATATATAGAGTATATATGACAATATATAAATGCAAATATAGTATGAAATGTCGACAATACTGCACTTATGTATATATATATATATAAAAGACACCAGGAACACAATTCTGTTAGATTGAACATAGAGAGAATAAGAAATGTTATACAATATAACTGTAGGTAATTTCAAGAAGCAAATGCCACTGGGTAGTTAAATTTGACTTTTGCAGATGATCAATGAGGGAATAATAACAAAGTAGAATAACTAAGTCGTGCCAAACATTGAGCACAAGAACATTAATAAAACAGCAAAGCTGCAGGTGAGGTCTGTGGATCACTCAAACAATGACTAGGGAAGGAGAGTCCCAGCTTCCACCACTATTCGCCACTCCAAGGATGCCCCTCCACTGAGCCCAGGGTCAGAGCCCAGACAGTCTAGCATAGCATTTCCCAGGGTGTTAATTGGGGCTTGTTGTTGTGTCCCTTGACCTTGCATACATGGTGGCATGATATGTATGCTTCTGGAACAGGTAGGCTGTGTTGGGGATGAAGAAGTTTGTTTCGCCAAAGTTGGGGTAAGTTGTGGAAAATATGAAGGCCAAAGTGACGAGGACTAGTTGTTCACTGCGATTGATTTTCGCGCCTTCTCCTCAGCAACACCCTTCTGGGAACACGCTGGAGAGGCTTGTGTATGCGATGTCAGTTAACAGGACGTCTCCGGGGGCCCCCCACTGGTCCAAAGGGAGGGGAGTGGGAGGGGGAAGGGGAGGGAGGGGTGGGAGAGGGGAGGGAGGAGAGAGGGGGAAAGGGGGGGGTGGGGGGGCAGGGCTCAAGGACCCGCCACCTCTTTATCCTTGAGTGTAAGTGCAGGCTGCAGGGAAGCCTATCACGGCTGTATCTGCTGGCTGCAGGCATAAAGGTGCTGAATAATCAGCAGAGTGTTCCCCAGGAATATCAGCAAGAATTTAGCCCCCCAAAAAAGAATAGTAATGTCTAGTTTAAGGCTTTATAAGTAGATTTCCCAGATAAGCACCATGCAGTTGTCTTGGTTGGCTGTCCGGCCCTGCGCAAATACAATTTGTGAATTTTTTTTTTTTCAAAAGTGGTAACTAACTTTGCTTATTTGTATTTATAACAAACGTAAAGATTAATGTTTAGAATGTATATTGTCAAACAAGAATTGCATGGGAGTACTCACATGGGCATGTTAAAACATTGTAAAAATGTTGCTCCGACTATTACATTCTAAATGAAATTTGGTTTATTTTTACTGGAACACATTTCTGTCACTAATTAGATCTCTTTGTGCTCTTTTTTTTTTCTTACTACTTCTCATCAGGGTCTTATATTGGACCATGAATACCAAATTAGCTACACCTGACAGCCTGCTGTGTATTTTTCTCCTTATTTATTCTTATGTTCACAATTGTTTTCTACTTTTCTTAAAGAATTTGCACTCGTCATGCTATTTATTCTTCTCATGCTTCATTTGCTATTAATTTGTACTTTATTTTTTTAATTGCTCAATAAAAATATATTGCAAAAAAATGCAATCAATGGATATTTACTACACTGAGAATTGAAAGTGAATTCTATTTGAATTTCAAATTTAAAGTAGCTGCACTGGAAGCATAGCGGACAGAGATTTTTTTTAAGTTCTGCTACTTTCACCCTAAATTGAAATTCCCTTTGAATTGACCTTGAATTCTTACTCCAGTTAATGGAGTATAAAAATAATATCTTCATAATACCAACATTAAATAATGACATTTGTCCTGCTAAAATGAAATTTGTATACTCAGGGCTGCCATCAGGTTGATACAACCAGTACACTTGTAAGGGGCTTGAGACACCCGGTGGGGTGGTAAGCTTGGGCTCTGATGACCAGATCAATGAGATGTAACTAGTACAGGAAGAACGCGTTGGTTTACAGAGTTTCTTTCTGAGTGAGAATTACAGTTTTATTTTTTCAGGGATTGAGGAGAAGCTTCCAGTTTGAGCCATGAGGGATCTGCTGTGTGGAAAAGAGTGTGGATTGCTGGTACCTGGTGTGAGTCTTCCTCCTTACACATTCCCATTGACCTCAAGCAGCAGTGCAGCACTAACTGGCAGCTATGACCTCTCTTCCTGCCATTAGGCTCTGTCTCTACCTACAATGTACTGGCTGCCTCCCTCACACAGCCTGGCATGTATTTATCACGATAAACTGCGTGAAAAAATTAATGTATGTAGCTAGATGTATATTTATCAATGTGTATGTATGTGTGTATGAGTAGAGTGTGTTTGTGTGTATATGTAGCATGTATATGTGTAGCAGCTTCTGTGTGGTAATGTGGGTATGTGTATGCGAAGCAGTGTGTATTGAGGTTTATAGTGCCATCTTTAATATTGATTAGACCCTGGGCAAGCATTGGCTTAGCCCCCCTAGACCCTGTCTTCCTCCCTACTCCCTGGCATGCAATGCCATTGGTGTGGTGGGGTGGGAGGGGGGTGGAAACGTATGTGTGCAAAACATTTCAAAACGGATTAAAGGGACTTTCCAAATACTGTATTTACTAGCAGACAATATGTAGATAAGAAAGAAAGAGAAAGGAAGGGGACTAAAATAAGTCCTCAGTGGGAGAGTAATCGTTAATGGGAAGGGGTCCCTACCTTTAATAATCCTAAAGGAAAACACACATTAAAAAGGACAGATAGGAGAAAGGAATATAAATGGTAAACCATCTAGAGACAGTTGCAGAGAACAGGTGTCTACTATCAAAGAGAGAGGCTGCCTGGCAATTCCTAACCTAAATGTTGAGCACATGCGTCCTAAGTCTCATGGGTAACCAATCCAGGTGTATAGAGATGGCTAAAACACTGAGCCTGTATATAGAGGTGAAAAAAGACCCTCTATAGGAGAAGTTAGCCTGTATATAGAGGTGAAAAAAGACCCTCTATAGGAGAAGTTAAACTACCAGTTTAACTTCTCCTATAGAGGGTCTTTTTTCACCTCTATATACAGGCTCAGTGTTTTAGCCATCTCTATACACCTGGATTGGTTACCCATGAGACTTAGGACGCATGTGCTCAATATTTAGGTTAGGAATTGCCAGGCAGCCTCTCTCTTTGATAGTAGACACCTGTTCGCTGCAACTGTCTCTAGATGGTTTACCATTTATATTCCTTTCTCCTATCTGTCCTTTTTAATGTGTGTTTTCCTTTAGGATTATTAAAGGTAGGGACCCCTTCCCATTAACTATTACTCTCCCACTGAGGACTTATTTTAGTCCCCTTCCTTTCTCTTTCTTTCTTATACTAACTTCGTGGGTTATTCCCCAATCAGGGAGAGTAATCTTAGGGCTCTTTGGCACTGATTCATTGGTCAGGTATTGTGACCTCTGAATCAGAGTCACTATTATTTCTTTTCTCTTTTTTGTATTTAGGTGTTATGCACCACTAAGCCCTATACACATCTTGTTTTAGAGAGTACCTATTTAAGAATTAGAATTTACACTATTGGATTAATGGCTGGCTTCCTTACTAACAAAATAGATCCCAAACAATAGTGCTCGGATGCGGACACCATTTTTTCTACTAACTCCTCATTACAGGCTTTCCCCCCAGTGGATATACAAAGTGGCTTCAATAAATTGACAAAAACCTTTAAACAGCAAATAAAAACTAGCTGGGAAATCTCAACCCTTGAGACATATATCTCTAAAAAGATTATCCCAAGGGGACTTAGGGTTTTAGTTCCACCATCACGGAATATTGAAATAGAGGGATTCACACAAGAATGGGAGGAGGCAGCAGCTAGATGCTCTACCACCTTCATGTCTATCATATGCAAATATGAGACCATACATCTGACTAATATCCAAAAAACTCTAGATAATGAGATAGAGAATATTCAAAAGTTCAAAGATGACCCCCAGTTTCAAAACTTAGAAGTAAAATTGAAAACTAATTTGGATAGATTCTCTTATCAAATTAAAATTAAAAAACATCATAAATTTATAAGAGATACTACAGATTTTGAGACAAGGAGAGTTTATCGCCAGACAAAAAGGAAAGTCAGAATTGACTCAGATCACTTTAGTACCTCTGAATACGAATCCACTGACAATGAGGGGAAACCATAATTACTAATCCTACACAAACTGAACCTAAGAGTATATTAAGGAAAGGCGTAGATTTTTTAGGGCTGCGACAGGCGGACGAACTTCAACGTCCCAGAACGAGACAAGCACAGAGAGGCAGGGGCCAGAGAAGACAACAACGCCGTCAATAACTAAAGACTTAAGGGTAATTAATTTATCCTCATTTATATTGACGGATATACAATTAAAAACCCTCTCAAAAGGCCTATCTTTTGTACCTACACCTCCTTTTAACAAATTCTTTTGGATTAAGGATTTGCACCTGTTCGCACGAAAACTAGCCCTACATAAGTATCACACACATAAGAAAGAACTGAAAGCATCTAGTTTGGGACTGACAATTAGGGATATGGACTGCTTGGAGACCCTAGTCGCACTCCTTGATTCCAATGATTTCAAGGATACCAATATCCCGACCACCCTACTTGCACCCAAGAGTCGCTTCACTCCACATCTGAAAGATTATAAGAATATTGAGGTTTTTTTGGATATGGTTTGTAGAGAAATTGAAAAAGTTGAAACAGGAATCCTGAGTATAGAATCTACTAGCAATCTTACCAGAACAGAAAAACTAGCATTGAAACAACTAAAGGAAAATGATCAATTAGTAATTAAACCATCAGATAAGGTCGGCAATGTAGTCCTTATGGATCACTCTAAATATATTCAGATGGTACAACATCTACTGAATGACAAAGAGACTTACCAAGTACTAAATCATGATCCCACCGTACAATATTCTATCGAAATAAAAACTATGCTGAGCCAAGCCCTGGTAGAGAATCTCATCACTAAAAATGAATTTGAATTCATGCTAGTTAGACAACCTATACTCTCAACTTTTTACAGTCTACCTAAAGTCCATAAATCCCTTGACAACCCGTCAGGCAGACCGATTGTCTCGGGATGTGGAAATTTGACTCAGAACCTGAGTATATATTTGGATAAGATTTTGTCTCCTATTGTCTCAAAGTTACCATCGTATATAAGAGATACGAAACAGATGTTGAATTTTCTGAAGGATGTCTCTATACCAGAACAAGCATTACTATGCAGTTTAGATGTAGAGTCACTGTACAGTTCTATACCTCATATACAGGGAATTAACAACATCAAAGTTATCCTTGAACAAGAATTACAATATCCAGTCGCTTATATAGATCTTATCTCTAAAATACTCAGAACAGTTCTGACAAAGAACATTTTTCTTTTTAACGGTACCATTTACCAGCAGATAAGGGGGACAGCGATGGGGACATCCTGTGCCCCCGCCTATGCAAATCTTTATTTAGGTACCTGGGAGAAAGATATAAGATCAGTTCCACATCTACGTCGGTTCATAGGGATGATATCATGTTGGAAACGGTACATCGATGATGTACTAATTGTATGGACAGGGAGCAAGAAAGATTTTGAAATGTTTGTAAGTCTCCTAAATACAAATGATCTCAACCTAAGATTCACCAGTGAGATTGGTGGAAAACAACTCAACTTCTTAGATATAACTGTGACCATCCAATCGGGAGGTGGAGTGTCAACAACTCTTTTCAAAAAACAAACTGCCACTAATAGTCTCCTTAACTGGCATAGCCACCTCCACCTCCTCAGCCTCTCAAGGCAGGTATACCAATAGGACAGTACTTACGATTGAGGCGCAATTGCTCCTCTATTGAGGACTTTAAAATCAAAGCCTGGGGCCTTAGGCGTGCCTTTAAGGACAAGGGCTACCCCAATAGAGTCTTACGTAAAGCGTATGCTAGAGCAATCAGTACTGCACGTGATTCACTTCTTACTGATGAAAAAGTACAAGACCAGGATCAAAAATTGATCCGTTGCATTGCTACGTATGATGCAGGATGGGACTTTATGATGAGCGTATTGAAACGATATTGGCCAATCTTGACATCTGACCCACAAGTAAAACAAGTAATTACTACATTCCCCTCTGTGACTGCAGGGAGAGGAAAAAATCTACGTGACACGCTGGTACAGAGTCACCTAGCCCCTCTAAAAAGAGGGATTAGCAACTATCTCCCCAAAGGGACTTATAGATGTGGACGCTGTAGTGCCTGTGAATTCATTGATAAAAAATCCAAGGAATTCACGGACAGCAATAATGAAAAAACCTTCCCTGTCCATTCATTTTTTAACTGTAAGACAGAGGGTGTCATATATTTACTCACATGCTCGTGCGGCATTAAGTATGTGGGAAAAACCTTCAGACCTTTCAAATTAAGGATTAGGGAACATGTCAATTCGGTCAGAAGACCTTTGGAAACCCCAATATCACGTCATTTGAAAGTTCATCATCTGAATTCTGCCAACAAATTAAAGTTTATGGGGATAGAACACATCCCACAAACCCAAAGGAAGGGGGATTGGGATAGGAAATTGAGACAGCGTGAGTCCTATTGGATTTATAAACTCAAGACCCTCTCCCCTGCAGGCTTGAATGAGGGTTTCTCATTCGCTGCCTTCCTTTTATTTGCCTCTACTTTTTCCTCCTTTAACTCTCTCCTTTTCGGATGTATAAGTGGCAGGGAAATACCTACCAAATCCTCATATGGATACAATACATTGCACTGTATATATGTTACACGTATCACACTATCTTTTATGTAGTATCCTGATTTATTCATTATATTCCTCCTGTCTACTTATTTTTCTCCCTTATAAAATATGGGACTATGCTGACCCAATGAGAATGGATAAATAAGTATAACTCCATTAGTTCTTATATATATGGCTTTTGAATTGTATATTTATTACTTAATTAAATGCCTTTGGCCGATCCATCCCTCTGTATTATGACCCAGGGATCGTAGTATCATTTAAGTAAGGATATGGGATCTAATTGACCCAATGACAGTTAAGTTGATTTATAAATGTCATCTTTCAAAACTCTAAGTATATAACCCGCAAAGTGTACAGTAATTATTTATCCTTTTGGCTGTTCTACCCTTGTACATTATGGCTCAAGGATTTAAGTAACTGTCAGTTGCTTCCCTATATTAGTGTAAACTATAGCACTCCCATGACACTTATTTTGTGCTTTGGGCATCAAGGCATGTTTATAATTTCACTCATTAAAACGAGCGTTCTATCCCGTTGGGTCGCAAATAGAGGGTTTTTCCCTCGAGTATGGGGTACTGCTGTCATTCAGCAGCCTAACCACTCCCACACTGCCCCCACGTGGGCTCCACCCGTTCCCGGAATTACGCTCCCCCTATTCATGCCATGACGTCATGTGATGCGGCCGATAAGGGATCACATTGGCTGGATACCGGACCAATGAGGAACTAGCAATTACGGCAGGATACCACACACAGCATCTCACAATCTTAATTGATTGTAACAAAAGGTATTTAAATGGATACAGGGAACTCTAAAAGTTTATTGCTCCTGACGACGGCGTGCTGAAACGCCGAAACGCACGTCGAGCTTATTTTATTTAATTATTTTCTTTTTTATTCACCTCTTTTTGGTAGCACTTATGGATTTAGCTATTTAAATCTTTGTAATTTTTAGGACATATAGGGACTTGGTATCCGGGTAGGCACTTGTGGCAACACAGTGCCGAGGTAATTAGAGGAAGCTTTCCACTGATAGGAGTCTGTTTTTGGGATATTTGGGGTAGTTTAACTTCTCCTATAGAGGGTCTTTTTTCACCTCTATATACAGGCTCAGTGTTTTAGCCATCTCTATACACCTGGATTGGTTACCCATGAGACTTAGGACGCATGTGCTCAACATTTAGGTTAGGAATTGCCAGGCAGCCTCTCTCTTTGATAGTAGACACCTGTTCTCTGCAACTGTCTCTAGATGGTTTACCATTTATATTCCTTTCTCCTATCTGTCCTTTTTAATGTGTGTTTTCCTTTAGGATTATTAAAGGTAGGGACCCCTTCCCATTAACTATTACTCTCCCACTGAGGACTTATTTTAGTCCCCTTCCTTTCTCTTTCTTTCTTATACTAACTTCGTGGGTTATTCCCCAATCAGGGAGAGTAATCTTAGGGCTCTTTGGCACTGATTCATTGGTCAGGTATTGTGACCTCTGAATCAGAGTCACTATTATTTCTTTTCTCCAATATGTAGATAAATCTCGAAACACAAAAAAAAAACAGTATCATTGATGTATAGGCACTTAGGTGTAGTGAATAAAGCTGCTATCACACTGGTGTAACTACTTACCCAAATTTATACACACTTGCCAAGTGTCAGAAATTACGTAGAGAGGGCCCTGGTGTAAGAATTTTTTTGGGCCCTCTTATCACAAAGATGACCAAAAGGTAGATCCCCATTTGTTGTACAACTTCAACCATGCTTTGACAGTTAGGGATCTACCATTTTCTCATGCTTGCAAGTTTGTATTTAGCACTGATCAGTGTTTGTGTGTTTGAATGTAAGCATGTTTTTGTATGGAGTATGTTTGTGTGAATGTAGAAGTGTGTTTGTATGTGGTGTTGGTGTTTGAATGCAAGCATGCATTTAAAGGATCACTATAGTGTCAGAAAAACAAACTTGTTTTCCTGATACTATATAACCCTTAGGTCCCCCCACCCTTTTTTCACATCCAGCGTCGCAGAAGCGCCTCATATAGTCATTTAGTCTTTGAATCATGGTCTGGACAAACATTTTCTGTTGCTGTGTTTAAAGAGGGGTATGTTCTTATAGTAAATTCATTATGTTAACCAATGTTTCAAAGTTATATTTCATCACTGAGTTTTGAGTCTCATTAATGGGATATTTTATTAACTATTTTAAGGGACTTCCAACCTTCTACACCATTACTTGGTCTGGCGATTTCCATGCGGCTACTTCTGACCACAAGCAAATCTCCATCTGCAATGCTTACCTGGCTCCACGTGGATCCTCTGCTCAGCTTCTGAATTCCTCTGGCAAACATCTTCATCCCACGGGTCGTTCGCTTTCTCCTTCGGCTTGACAGAGAATGCCTGGGGGCACGTTCAAAATCCTGAGTTTTGGGCCGCTGTCGTATGACCAGACATACATATGTCTTGGATGTGTTCATGGATGTGTTCTTGCTATATTGAGGCCCTCTAGTGACTATTTGACATCTTGATAATAGTTAATGGTTCTCTAAAATTCCATATGTAGTAGTAAGGGTTTCATTTAACTGTTAAAGGTCCAAAAGACTTCAGTATGGCATTATGGTGATCAGGTTAAAAATTCTGGTATTTTTAGAAAAGTTTTTTACTTACCATACCATACTTACTATTGGCTAATTTTTCTGTCTTTTTTTCTTAGATCTAGTATCAGTTAATTTTGTAAGGCTCTCATACGAGTGTTCTGTCAATAAGCTTGGTTCACAGACTTTCCTATTGACAATAGGTAGTTTACTTTCTATCCTGGTTCTCCATTGTCCAGGCCCAAGTTGGCCTCCATGTTTCATGTCACACCCAGTGGTGTATTTTGGATTTGTGCTGCCATAGGCACGACTAAATTCGGGCACCCCCAAAATCTAAATTTGCCCCACCAATTCTTGTCAAGGCCACTTTTTTAACTGACAGACACATGCCCTCATTAATACATGCACTGATATACACTCACTGACAGACACACTGACAGGCACACACACTCAGATACACATAAAATGACATACACATACTGACACACACTCACAGGCACACCCATTCTCACTGAAAAAAAAACCCATTTTCACTCACTGACAGACACACACTGACAGCTACACTCACTCACTCACAGTAAGGTGGACAGCCCCAGAACGTGAGGCAAACAAGGCATTCGTCTGGAAGCTTGGGGTGGTGTTTTTTGGCGCCCCCCTAAAAGTGCTGCCCTAGGCAAATACCTGGTTTGCCTTGTGGTAAATACATCCCTGGTCACACCTCAAAATATTCATGTATGTTGCTTTGTTATGCATTAGGTTGCTTGTTTAGGATTTCTGAATCCGGTTGGTACATTAAGCCACTACGTTCAAGGTGGGTTTTGTCTGTAGGCTTCATAAGTTTCTGGATTGAGCAAACCTCTTAGGCAGGTCCTACACTAACTATTCACCTTGCTTCCAAGAGCTTGTGGCAAAGATATCTAATGAGACAGAGAGGGGTATTTTTCTAAAACCCTACATGTTTATTAACCCTTAATAGGGAACACATGGGGTTTGCCTTAATGTGGCAGGTGGGCAGCCTTCTAATGGCCATTGGAGTAACTAAATAACCTTTATTTGTGTAAATATGCACATGGATTTGGGAAGAGTGCAGGTAACTTTTTTCTTTGGTTTTTACTGTATGTATTGGTGCTGATGTGTACTATGGTCGTTGCTGCTGCCCAAGAATAGTGGGAGTTTGAGCGCAGGACTTGTTTTTGTATATTTTTTATTCACAACCACCGCTAGCAACAATAAAAAAAACTAAATAATGTGAAAAAAAAGTGCTGACTGTGCCAAAACAGGAGCCCAAAGGACACATTGCCTGGAAGTTCATTATATTTTCTTAATACAAAATGTATGCAGCCAATATTCAATCTTTTTTTTCTGGCACTGTGTTTGACAGTAAATAAAATGAATGTAAGACAAATTGAAGCAACTGGTGAGCCTCAAATGATTTGCAGCTGTAAATTCAGCCTTTAGTCAAGTATCTCACCAAAATTGTATTTTGCAAACTCTGTTCCCAATTCACCAGGATTAAAAAAAAAAAACCTGTGATCTGCCCAAGGGGTACACAGCAGTGCTCCTCTCACCCCTGCTGGCTTTAGAGGGTTAAGGAATGCAAATTAACCTACTTTCCAGCTATTGCAATTTCCTTGTAGCTGGCTTTAAAGTGAGCTTTTAATAAGATCACAGTACAATGCATAAACTTGCACATTCTGATTCATGCTCTACTGCTTCCCCTAGCTGTTTTAAGATTCACATCACTGCCCTTATTTCCAAATAGATGTTCTTGCCATCCTGAAAAAAATGTTTTCCTCTTCCCAATCTCTTAATAAAATAATCAGAGTGGAAATAGTAGAAACATCCTAATACCCTAGAGTTTTGTAATTTATTAGAACCGATGCTTGGCAGATGTGATGTTAATGAAATAGTTCCTAATATTTTCTTATAACACGCATTGCTTGTTATTATTCAATGCTTTCCGGCGATGCTGGAGGTCCTCATGCATAGTGTGAGGATGTCCAGCATCATTTAGATGACCAAAAGTCGTCTAAGAACCCGGAAGTATATATTGCAATATATATTAAGTATCTATCTATATATATATATATATATATATATGTATATATATATATATATACACACACACTCACACACACATTTGTGAATGGTAATAGCAGATTACGCATAAAACCCTCAGGTGACATGTCTATTTACCATGTGGCTTATAAATTAACATCTGCAATTAGCAATTTTTGCAGCCTCTTTTATTTTTATGTAAAGATTTGCTATAGTTAGATTAGCATTTAGTAAAACCAAATATATATTCATTCACTAGTAATTTTCTGTGCAAAATATACAACAAGATCTCACCAGTACCTTAATGCACAATGCACTTAAATATTTACATTAAAATAATTACCATATACTAGCCTTTGTTTCTTATTTGTTTCAAATTCCAAGCACCTGTTTTTTTTACAGTGACAACTACAGCAAGGAATGTGTTAGCCAATCCTTGCCAAATCCTAGCCAATGGTGCTCCCATTGATACTACACAGTTCTATTTTGTATTTGAGTTGTCTCACTTCTTTCTCCTTAGTTTCATCCAGTGTCCCTGAAACACTGCTTTAATTTCAATTAAATTTACAAGAAAGTAAATTCATAAAAGCCCATCAGCATGAGCCTGGTAGTCAGGAGCCCTGGTCCAGGAGGTCAAAGTGCTTTATCTGAAGATTTGCATTTTAGTAGAATCAAATATATATTTATCCACTAGTAATTTGCTGTGCAAAGTATACAACAATTACCTTGATCCACAATGCACTTAAATAATTACATTAAAATAATTACCATGTACTAGTATTTGCTCCCTATTGGTTGTTTTTCTCTGCAGTGACATCTCAAGCAATCAACTAAACATCAGGATCTCCAGGATTGGCTAATGGTCCAATTTTGCCTTTTGTCTCACTTCTTTCTCCTTAGTTTCCTCCAGTGTCCCTTTAATAGACATACAATCTTCGTTTTTGTTTGATTCATTATTGCAATAACCTAGGAAAGTAACAGTAGTTTACATGGCAAAACACAATCTTAGCACAAACTATCAATAATTTAACAGGAAAAACTATTGATTGTTTTGAAAGATTTGAAATGAATTTACAGATTATAGTTTTGCTTACACCTTTATATGTATACGAGCATATCTTTACATTATGTACAATAAAAGTATTAATCAATTTTCTCAAAAATGAGTACTTTTGCACATTCTCTTGGACTTCGTCAAAATGGATTATATTGCACCATCAGCAGCATAAGATGAGAGAAAGTCTGTACTTGAAGAATGACAAGGTTTTTAGTCTTATGTATACTTATCTCACATATTTGAAAAATATGTCTTTATTAGATATGAAATATAAAAAGAAATTAAATAAATCAATGTTTATATATTCCCTCCACATTTGCAATGTGTGCCCTGGCTTTGCCTTGACTGAACTGGATTGAGATGTAATTTGCTAAATATTCAATAAACATTTTAAAGAAGACAGAACATTACTTCAGTTTAAGTTAGAAGTGATTTTCAAGGTTTTATTAATGGTTTTGCTGACGTTTCCCCTTTTAAATTTAATAAACCTACTTACTATGTTATAATATTATGAGAAATTCAGCCATATGCAGCTATGACCAATGATCCTCTAAGATAAGGTGCGTATAAAATACACAGCATGTTAGAATGCCTCTAATCCAAAAATCTGAAAGAGTTGGAAAAAGAATTGTACGATTTAAATTTGGCGAATAAATTTGGCCCATCCAGGTCCTTTGATGCAGTGATCTCTGATATTACATTTTAAATTGATGTTCTTCAGTTGGAACACATAGCCTTGATGTTGAAATGGTTTAACTTTTTTTTTTTTTTTTTTATTCAAAAGGCAATAAGGCTTCCTCATTATTATTATCTAAATCGCGACATAAACTTTCCCAGTCCAGAATTGAACATCTACTAAATGATGATGACGTAAAACTTACCCCTCCTGTGAAAATGAATAATTTATTTGCGGATTATTATAAAAAAATACATAATTTGGCTTCAGATCCTAATACAGTACAGCATAACTCAAAATAAAATTATAAATGCCATTAACACGATTCCTGCGGGAAAAAGTCTCTCTCTGGCATTTCAACCCCATATTTGACTTGTTTATTTAATTACTACTGGAATACAGGAAGGATGGCTGGGGAGGCTTTGTGTGCCCAATTGTGAACTTGCGGAAAAACTCCTAATGTTTGTTCAAATTTACGACCCATATTCCTGATTAATAATGACACCAAAATGTATTCGAAAATATTGGCTATTAGACTTTCACAAATTCCCCTCTTTAATTAACAAGGACATCAATGGAGATAATGAGGTCAACATTTTTTTTAAAGAAAGTATGATGTCATCTGCAGATAAACCAATTTTATTTTCTTCGTCCCTCAATGTTAACTGATTGGAGTATCATTTGTGTCAGAGGTTTCATTGCCAATACAAATAAAAGTGGTGACAATGGACATGCCGTTGACCTCATTATTTCCATCGATGTCTATTCTGCAAGAATTTGGCAATATCTCCTATTACAAATTAGATACGCCAAAAACTCAAACTCTTCAGTTTTTTATACCAAGATTTGATTTGGATACCATGAAGAAAATGTATGATTTTGATTGAAGGGGCTCCTATATTTCTTATCTGGGCATCAATCTGTGCAAGAATTTGTCCAAGATGCATAAATGTAATTTAAAAAAGGTCTGGTCCGAACTTAGGGAAGACATTGAAAGATAGTGTGGTCTCTATACCTTTTATCCTTTTTTCAGAAAAGTCCACTCTACCCTTGTTTCACTCTACCCTTGTTTTTGTATCTATTTTATTAAAAGCCAGAGTTGGGGGAGATATGGGTTTGCCAGACTTTTTTCATTACTACTATGCTACTAATGCAGTAATAGCACTTAAATCTAATTTAGATAACGCCAGGCCCCAATGGCTTGAGATGGAGGCAAATAAGTTTTACATTGTTCTATTAAAGATTTATTATGGTTGCCTTCATCTCAACGCCCTAAGGCAGCGGACATGTTTCCCTCTACTAAATTAACCGTTAAAATGTGGAACCTATTATTAAAAAAAGTCAACATTCTGCCACATGGTCCAGAGCTACACCATTATCAGCAGTATGTTAGGCTTTATCTGAATTGGATGTAGATTACTGGGCCTCCCATTCGATTGTCCATATTAATGATCTATTTTCTTCCAATGGCCTTCTGCCTTTCAATCAATTGAAAGATAAAATTGATTTATGTTTACATGATACCCCAAAACATGAACGACTTGTGACAACAATTAGAGAACATTTTGCTCTTTCTTTTGGATAAAATCTATTTTTTAGATCCTGGTTGGAAACAGGTGTGATAAAACTAATTACATGTTGAGGTGGGAGAGGGAGCTAGATGGGATATACACAGTAGAGGAGTGGAATGACTTGATATTAGCGTTAAAAGGTATAACTCAAAGTGCAAACCATTTGGAATCACATTACAAATTAATTTATAGATGGTACCTAACCCCTTCCAAACTTTTTAACATGCACCTTAGTGAAAATAATAAATGTTGTAGAGACTGCAATCAAATTGGTACATTACTCCATGTCTTCTATTTGTGTCCCAAAATAAAAACTTAATGACTGAAAATTCTCAAATTAATGAATCACTTATTAGAATTCGATGTAATATTATCCTCGTGTCTTTGTCTCTTTAAGAAAATTCCATCTAATCTGCCTTCATACAAAAAAAAATATACTAGGCCATCTTCTCATATCAGCTAATTCCATCATCTCTCGTCATTGGAAGTCTATGGGTTAACTATGGGCTAAGTCTTATCTCTCGTTTTTGAAAATAAAAGGTGTGAATTGGCTTTTCATGATCCATCTACTTTCACATCAATATTGTAGCATGAATGGTCAATGTGGGAAGATGATGTGAAAGATAAGTTCGAACTTTAACCATGTTGCCACCTGACTGAGTACATATTCTGCTTCCTGATTTTTTTTTTTAGTACCATGTTTTTATTAATTACTTGACACTTTATTTTATTTCTGTACATAGTTTACTTATTTTATAGACAAATATTTATCATATTTATGTGTATTTTATTTGATTGCTTGTTTAGTTTTGACAATGGTTCAGAAGTCATGATATATATGCCAATGTTGTATGATTTATCATAATATTTTAAAACATTAATAAAAAATATTTGACATAATTAACAAGGAACAGGTAGGATTTGTTTTAAACCGTCAGGCCCTGCACAGTACTAGGCGTTTCATTCATTTGATTCGCTATCTAAAATTGGACTGCATTCCTTCATTAGATTCAGAGAAGGCATTTGATCTAATTCATTGGGGTTTCCTAAAGGAGGGTATTGCGCGATTTAATATTCCTTTCATCAGGGCTGTGTATGCGTTATATTGCACTCCAACTGCAAGAATATCTGCAACTGGTTTTATCTCTGAAACGTTTAAGTTGTCCAATGGCACCAGGCAGGGTTATCCGTTGTCGCCACTCTTTTTTGTGTTGGCAATGGAGCTCCAGGCAGAAATGATTAGACAGTTTGCAGATAAAGAGGGCATTGCAGTTGGGGACAGGGTGCATAAAATTGGCCTTTTTGCAAATGACAATATGCTTTCATTAAAAACTTATATGACTTCAGTCGACTCCCTAATGTCACATTACAAATTGAATACTTACAAAACAAAGGCTCTTTCTTTCTACACTCCCTGGTATGATTTAAATGTTTTGAAACAGAAATTTGACTTTGACTGGAAAGAGTCCTATGTATCCCATCTGGGAATTAACCTGTCTAAGAACCTGTCAAAAATGCATATCTGTAACCTGGCTAAAGTCTGGACCGAAATTAGGGATGACCCTGAGAGGTGGTGTAGTCTTGAAATCTCATGGTTAGGTAGGATTAATTCGGTCAAGACGTCTCTCCTTCCAAAAATGTTATATTTTATCAGAGCAATCCTCCCTCACCACACCTTTATCTTTTTTTTAGAAAGGTTAATTCTGCCCTTCTGACATTCGAATGGAATAAAAAAAAAAAAAGAATCAAAATGAACGTAATGCAGAAACTAAGGGTTAGTGGAGGTATGGGTTTGCCAAATTTTATTCATTACTATTTTGTTTTAAATATGTTTATTAAAGTCGCAAAGAAGCGTAGGCAGACTTTTTTTTTGAATTGCTAAAAATAACATTTGGTTGCCTGCGCAGAGGCATATAAATCAGATGAGACGAGAATAAAGCAAAGTAAATTGGATGTACACAGGCTTTGCAAGATTTGGTATAACAAGGGCATTTAACAGGTATAATAATGCATTATGTAGGTTGTTTAGTCATCTGAGCCATTCCTATGTCTAACTTTGCGTGCGATGGCGCTTTCCGCATAGGTAGCCTTATACGTGGTTAAAAAAAAACCATGCAGTTAAGTAGATTAAGTATACCTTAAGTTTGCGAGATTTGTTTTGGCTTTGTATAAAATCTAAAAAAACTATAGCATTAGGACTGACAAAAGGGAAGCTCAGTTAAGATTCAAAAGTTGTGCACGTTATATGCGGGTGCTAAGTATAAAATGGTCAATACGTGCAGTGCTTGCTTAGATGCGTGGCTAAATGTTCAGGTCTGTGTGCGTTAAGTGGGCTCTTCTTGAGCCAGGTGCATGCGCTAGGTGTCTTGAACGGAGCTTATCTCCTGAGTACTGTGAAAGCGAGCGTCGGGTGGCTGCCTGTCTCCCGGTGAGGCGATATATAGCAATATGGCGTGTGTTGTGGTAGATGGTGTTGTATTTTGCAATTTAATAAGGTTTGTCAGCTGAAGACAGCAGGACCACGTGGGGTGTCGTTCTGTAGCGTCCCTACCAAAACTATATTCGGGTCCCATTGCTACCTCAAGTACACACGTTTTTATACGATATGTTAGTCAGGCATCGTGAAGCAGGGGTTTAGGCATAGCTAGCAGCCCTATTACTGCGTCTAATGCGTCGTGAACTAGGCATGCGGTAAGGATGGATGTATACAGAACAAAGCAAAAATAAATTAACGGTAATAACTGTAACAGTAAAGGAGCCAGGCTGGTCTTAGTATCTGTCCGATGAGGGCCTCCCGTGGCACGGCCGCAGTGCATCTCCTGGGATGCCGAGTCTCCGTCCGTCCTCCCCGGAGCGACCCCAGCCCATCATATGGGTCCCCTGCGGTGCTGTGGGCACTCGGTGGCAGAGACAGTCCACTTGACCCCCACACCTAGAGTCCGCGGGCCTCCTGCTCCCTTCACCTCCCCAACACCGCCCAGGGAAGCGAGTGTCCCAATGTCTCTCCTGGCGCCGGCCACATACTTGGAGCCGGTGCCCGCCGCCCCCGGCCACCGGTCCGCCGGGGGGGCCACGCAGACCAGCCCCACAGGGCTCCCAGCATCAGGGACAAGGCTCTCCGGGGACCTCCCAGACCCAGATGCCTGGGCACTCACTTTTTCTGACGGGCGGGCAGTCATCACGAGGGATCCATCTGGTGCTCAGCAATGCCAAAGTCCGTATCGGCCGTTTGGATCAGCTCGCCATGGTAGGTATTCTTCATGGTTACTACAGCTCTGATCAGTCACTGGTGGCTTGAGGGAGAACATACACAGGCAGTGGGGTGCAGCTGCATTAGGTCTCCAACCTCTGTAATAGTGCAGGTCTCCTTTATCTCTGCCTGATTGCCTCCTCAGGTGAGTGTACCTTCCCCACCGTGGCAGTGTCCACATCTGCCGGCTGGCCGTCCTCCACACAGCCGTTGCTCTGCTCCACACCCTTCCTCTTGAAGGCGGATGGCTTCCACCTTATCAGCTCCCACATCTGCTGGCTGGCTGTGCTGTATGCAGGCTTTGCCAGTATAGGCGTCCAGCACGTTACCGCAGCGGGGGCTCCCGTCACGGCACGAGCGGTCGCCATGTGGCCGGGATAACCCCCACCGGCCGGGGGGGGGACAGGGCCGTGCCCCGGGCCGGGAGTTGCTCTTTGTCGGAGTACTCCTCTCGTGGCTTCTTCTGCCCGGGTGCCTCGGCTCAGCGCTTCCCCGCGGATGCGCATGCGGTCGGATTCTCAGCCGTTGGTAGGCCGGGGATGGCCGCCTCCACTCACCCGACAGGCGAGGAGTTTCATGCGGGTAGCGGGTAAAAGCTTAGGTCATTCTCCGTGCACTGGTGTCGGAGGATCCGTCTTTTAAGCGGTCAGGAACAGTATTTTGTGCTGTTATCACGAGCTCACAGCCGGAGCTCAAGCTAATGGCCTCCAGTCGGCCCGGCGGCCCGGCGGCCCGGCCCCGCCCCCCCTTCATTACTATTTTGCAACTAACACTGCTATGGAGATTAAATTTAACTTGGATCATCAATGCCATTGTTGGCTTGAGATGGAGGCAGACAAGTTTTTTTCCTTAAAAAAATAAATTTGCCATTAAAAATGTTTTATGGCTGCCTTCTTTTCAATGACTGCGAGTGGTGGACATGTTTCCTTCTCCTAAAACAACTATTAAGATAGTTTGATAGTTTGTATAAATTGATTTGTCCTTCTGCTGTCTGGTCTCGGGATACCCCTTTGTCGGTGCTGCAATCGTCTTTACCTGAACTGAACATAGAATACTGGAAAGTAAAAAACAAGACGCAAGGGGTCCACGTCTGGATTACGACGATTTATTTTTTAACAATAATTTTTTGTCTTTTGTTCAGTTGAAGGAAAAAGTTGATTCAGATGATTCTGACACTCATATTTTTTATAAGATGGTAAAACTGTTGCATGAACATTTTAATGTTTCTGACTTAAAACAACTGACAATGTATTTTTCCAATCCTGGAGACCTTATGGACTGTTTAAATTACAATTGACAAACACCAATTCATGTTGGAGGGTTGGAACATTATATCATATCATATCATATCATATCTTCTGGACATGCCCTACGATAACTCCATTCTGGAAAGGCATACATAAACTAATTCAATCCGTCATAAAATTTCCAGTTGAAAATCCCCACATCTTTGTTTATTTATAAATTTACCGGAAAATATATCCAAAAGTCAAAGAGTTATGTTGGGTCATCTCCTTATTTCTGCTACTTCTGTAATCCCATGAAACTGGAAATCATCAACTGTCCCTTCTGTTAGCGAGATATTGCAGCTCCTTTTTGAAAACAAACGTTGTGAGCTAGCTACAAGATTGCCATTGGACGCGAATACCACCTTACAAGATGTTAGGCATCAATATCATCATATTTAGTTCTCTCCACAACCGGTCACCAAACATTGTTACATATTTTTATTCTTAATTCACTTTACACTGCATTATGGTTGATTAATAAGGCATTATTAATGGAACAGTTATACTTATTATTCTACAATTTCCTTCAATTATTTATGATTTTTCATTTTTAAATAGGATTGGATGTTTAATAGTACCTATTTCCTTGTTTGTTTAATATTATTATCATCATCATTTTTATTATTATTATTATTGTTTAGTTTATTATAATATTTTCAACTTTCAATAAAACATTTGAAAAGATTAAAAAAAAAAATGCCTCTAATCCAGTTCAAATATCTGTCAGGGACCAGGAACCACACAGAGACATAACTAGATGCAAAAACACCTTTATTAATAAATAAAAAATAAAAAAATAACAAAAAGCAAAGTCCAGGAGGCAAGCAGGGGTCAGTCACCAGAGTGGGTAGTCAGACGAGCCAGGATCAGGAGAACCGAGATCACCAAAGTCAGGAACAAACAGGAAGCACAGGAACAAGGAGACTTATGGGGAACAGGAAACCATGCAAGGGCAAGGAGGTACTGGGATTTGCTGCTTAAATAGGCTGCACTGATTAGCAGCAGGGTTGATTACTATTCTCAGGTGAGTAACCATGGCAACATAGTGAAGGAGCTGATCGTTAATCTCAGCTGAAAACTCAGACACTGAAAAAGGAAGGGTTGCTGTTAAAACAGCAAAGAAACCCTGACAGTACCTCCCCTTCAACGACCCCCCCCATCTCTGCTGGTGGGTCCAGGCTTCATGAGGAAGCGGGCGTAATAGGAACGAAGGAGGGATGGTGCATGGACATCAGAGGCTGGAACCCAGGAGCGTTCCTCTGCACCGTACCCTTTCCAGTGCACCAAGTATTGGATCTGTCATCTGAAGACTCGTGAGTCAATGATGCTGCGTATTTCATATACCTCACGATTGTCAACTGGAACAGGACGTGGCACTGAGGTGGTGTAACGATTACATACCAACGGTTTCAAGAGGGAAACATGGAATACATTCGAGATGCGCATGCTAGTAGGAAGGTCAAGTGCGTAAGCTACAGGATTAATCCTTCGAAGTATATGAAATGGCCCAACGTATTGGGGTGCCAGTTTTTGTGAAGGAACATGGAGCCGTAGGTTGCGAGAAGACAGCCAGACTCTCTCTCCGACCTGATAGGTAGATGCAGGAGGGCGTCTGCGGTCGGCCTGGAGTTTGTAGTTCTGCATTGCGCGTTGCAAAGATTTCTGAACCTGCACCCAAGTGGAACGGAGTTCCCTGAGATGTTCCTCCAATGCCGGTATCCTTTGTGGCATGAACGTATCAGGCGACATGGACAGTTGAAACCCATAGCTCACCAAGAACGGGGATAGCCAGGAAGAGGCATTAATTGCACTATTGTGGGCAAACTCTGCCCAGGGTAGTAGATCATACCAGTTGTTCTGGTGGTCAGAAATGTAGCAATGCAGAAACTGTTCCAAGGCTTGGTTAGCACGTTCTGCAGCACCATTGGATTCCGGGTGGTAGGCCGAGGAGAAGGAAAGATGAATTCCCATCTGTGTGCAAAAAGCTCTCCAAAATCTAGACACAAACTGGCTACCCCTATCTGAGATTATTACTTTGGGTAACCCATGCAAACGAAAGACCTCCGAGCAAAATTCTTGAGAAGTTGGTAGTTTTTTTCAAGGGAATGCAATGCGACATCTTAGAAAATCGGTCAACAACCATGAGAACGACTGTATTGCCACTGGAGAACGGAAGATCTACGATAAAGTCCATGGAAAAGTGAGTCCAGGGTCGTTCACCATTAGGTATGGTTTGCAGGAGACCCACTGGAGGGTGTCGTGGGGTTTTATTTTGAGCGCATACAGGACAGCCAGCTACAAAATCGGTGGCATCCAAACGGAGACTAGGCCACCAAAATTGCCGAGAGATGGACCAGATTAACTGTTTTTTGCCTGGATGTCCAGCTGCTTTGGGTTTGTGATATGTACTTAATAATTTAGTACGGAGATGAATGGGTACAAAACAACGGCCATTAGGTTTCTCTGGAGGAGCATTAATGTGTGCAGCCAGAATCTCCTCGCCTAGGGGTGAGGTGACGTTAGTACGGATGGTGGCCAGTATACTGTCCGGAGGAATCACAGGAGTAGGGTTATCTCCTCTCTAGATGGAGGGGAAAACTGTTGAGACAAGGCATCAGCCCGAATGTTTTTAGTACCGGGAAAGTAAGAAACCACATAATTGAATCTTGATAGGAAGAGAGCCCATCTAGCTTGCAGGGGGGAAAGTCGCTTAGCTTCGAAAAGATATGTAAGATTCTTGTGGTCTGTGAGGATGAGAATGGGCACTGAAGTACCCTCAAGAAGGTGCCTCCATTAGCTAAAATAATAGCTAGAAGTTCTCTATCACCAATCTGGTGATTGCATTCCGCCGGGTTCAATTTCTTCGAGAAATACCCGCACGGATGCCTGGAGCTCTCTGGGTTAGGACGTTGAGACAGGAGGGTGCCTACTGCTGTCTCAGATGCATCGACTTCAAGAATGAATGGTAAGGCAGGGTTAGGGTGTGCCAGTATAGGAGCAGCAGCAAAGTCGACTTTGAGAGACTCAAAGGCAGTAATGGCTTCCTGTGACCAATGCTGTGGATCAGCATCTCTCCTGGTCATATCCATGAGAGGTTTAACCAAGGAAGAAAAGTTGCGTATGAACTTCCGATAATAATTTGCGAAGCCAAGAAAACGCTGTACAGAGCGAAGACCCGTAGGTCGAGGCCATTGTAGTACAGCAGAAAGTTTCTCTGGATCCATAGAGAATCCAGCATCTGAGATAACATAGCCCAAGAATGTGACCTGCTTGCAGTTGAACTCACATTTCTCTAATTTACAGAACAGATTATTTTCTCTGAGTCTCTGTAGAACATGAGAAACGTCTGCGTGATGGTTCTCGAGAGATGTGGAATGAACAAGAATATCGTCAAGATAAACCACCACACATTGCTACAGCATATCTCGCAGAACATCATTTATAAATTCCTGGAAAACCGCCGGAGCATTGCAAAGACTAAAGGGCATTACTAGGTATTCGTAATGCCTGCACCTGGTGTTAAATGCGGTTTTCCATTCGTGGTCCTCTTTTATCCGGACGAGATTATATGCCCCTCTCAGATCAAGTTTAGTGTAGACCGTTGCTCCCTTGAGGCGGTCAAATAACTCTGTGATCAACGGAATGGAGTAGGCATTCTTAATAGTAATGTGATTGAGACCCCTATAGTCGATACAGGGTCTCAACTCACCACTCTTCTTTTTTACAAAGAAAAAGCCGGCCCCGGCAGGAGAAGATGACTTCCGAATGAATCCCCTTGACAACGCATCGGTAACATACTCCTCCATGGCTCGATTCTCTGCTACCAACAGCAGGTAAATCCGGCCACGGGGAGGAATGGCACCAGGTTGGAGTTCGATATCACAGTCATATGGACGGTGTGGCGGCAGAACGCTGGCTTGACCCTTGTCAAATACATCTTGGAATTCTTGGTACTCAGCGGGTAAGGAAGAAGCAGAAAATGTGCCCAAAACTTTGATCGGTTTTCGGAGACAAGAAAATGTGCATTGCTGGGACCAAGATAATATCTCAGATTTGCGCCAATCAATTGTGGGGTTATGCTTCTGTAGCCAAGGGTATCCCAAAACAACCTGGTAATATGGAGAAGAAATTACCTGGAATTGGATCGTCTCATGATGTAGAGGCCCTACAGCCAGAGATATGGGCACGGTCTCCTTGGTCACGTGGGTTGGCTGTAT